AAAATCTCACTCAAATTTCTAGTGTGTTACCTTCTGCTTCTACAACAAAAAACTAATATTTTCTGTTTCTACTACATTTATCATAAAGGTATCTTCATTTAGTTGTTCCTTTTTGTATCTCAAGTATTAGACAATATTTTCTGATATAGAATAGGTGTTCAAAACATATTTGTAAGTTAATAAACACATGTTGTATCACTTTATAAGGATTATTTCTCATAAATAAGATTTTTTTAAATTCTTTTTCCATGTCAGGTTTACCCCAGTTTGTAGTGCAAATTGGTATAAAAAAAAAATAGGTGATTTTGTATGCTCACAGTTTGCACATCAAGTGTGACAATGAAACCAAGATAACTTTATAAAGTTATTTAAAAATTCACCAATTCTGCTGTCATTTCCAGTTCAGCACTTTAAAATTGTGGCTCCTACAAGGAAACATCACCGGATTTTGTTTTCTTTATCAGAAATACACTGCATTTGAGCGAACAAGAAGTAAGTCACAGGTAAATATTTGCTCATATCAATATGGCAACATTTCTTTCTATTTTCTTTCATATTGATTGAACACTTTTATGATGTTAAAATGAAGTTTAGGAATATATATATAATTTACGTTATTAAACTTATTATTTTCCTTATTATTTCCATAGATCTTATATCTAATAAATTTAGAAAGATGAAATAAGGAAATTTGTTTGTATGTAGTTAAACCCATGGCTCTGGAGCTGCAGAACTCATGAAGTTGCATTAGAGACAATAGTTTACTTGCTTTTTGGGGCGGTCTATGGAAGAACTATTATTTTATTTTTTGGAATGCTCAGGTTTATTGAAGTCTTATCAGGCTCCATAGATACATATTATTTAGCAACATTGTCAGTAAACTGAACACATTTGTTTCACTTTTAAGCAACCACAAAACAAACCTGGATTCTCAATTATCAGCACACAAATTAACAAATGATTCAAACCGGTTCCTTTTAATTTTAAGTCCTCAATATTCACATAAAATGGATAAACTTCTTTTAGGAGAGAAAGATGGTGTAAATCGACTCTAAACAGTACTGTTTGCAAACAATGGCCCTTTTTAATTTGTTATGAAAAATGTTAGAACATACACTGTGCTTTAGTGATTCAGTCTTAAGGCAAAGATGTAGCTGAAAATATATCTGAATGGCAAAACACTTTTTTTTTTAAGATTTATTTATTTATTCATATAGAACTGGGGTACAGGCCAGAGATGCGGCGGGTGAGAGGATTCACCAGAGACAGAGTGGGGAGCAGAACAGGCAGGTCAACGAAGTACACTGCTGAGGGGAGCAGTGAGCGGGTCAGAAGAGGTCTGCCACACCATGTGGTCACCTACAGGGCAGGTGGGGATTGAACTCATGAGAAAGTGGCTTAAGCTTCTTAGTGAAGTGCTTTAACCCGCTGCGCCACCAGGGAGGGCCGCAAAACACATTTTTAATAACCTTAGATTTGTATGTGAAATTATAATAAGTTATATGGTCATTTAAAATTATTTTGACATAGCTATTGGGAAATTAAACTAAAGGGGCTAAAACATGTTTAAATGTACTGGACACTTTTAAATTCAGATATTAAAACTTGTCTCACTCCAACTTGTGTTCTTTCTACAAGTTCTAAAAATGAAACACTAATAATAAAGAGAAGAACCTGAGAATGATAGCAGCTATTTCAATAGCATTATTAGATGCCAGGTATTATACGTATTTTATATGCAGAATACACTCAATGATGTCCTTGGTAATGGGCTGTTCTGATGTCCCTTTGGGTCAGAGTGAACTTGACCATTGATTGGCAGTGTCATGTGGTTAATAAGATATTGGAGATACTGGACTTCAATTCTGTCGATAGGTCCAGATTTTGTGGAAAAATAGATGCCGTAAATAGGAAAGAGACATCTTGAGCAGAAATGAATACAGAAAGACTGGAAAATTTGCATTACCATAATTGTAAACTCAATCAGACATCTAAAATGCTATTCAGACAAAGGGATTAGTCTCCATGATGAAAACTATGCAACTAAAGTGTAAGTCCTTGTGCCCTCACCCATCTCTGCCAGTTGCCTCTCCTGTGTATGCTTTCTTTCTTCTTCTTTTTTTTAACCAATTGTAAAATGGTCTTAAGTATAATAATTGACCCCATACATGTATACATGTGTTAATTCCTAGTATACACTCAACCCTGCTAGGAAGCGAGTAATTTCATATTTGCAGAATCTCAACTTTACGTTCAAAGTTAATACCACTAGCCTCATCTTCAGTGCTGCATTTGAATCAATGTGACCATTGTTTCTGATGTTGCTTCTCCAGTGATGACTGCCTCCCTCGTTCTCTCTCACATCTCCATCTTCTAAAAGCTCTTGGAATTATGTTGATACCAACAAGAATTTCCAGGAAAATGTCCTCCTCTCACCATTCTTAATTTTATAAAAAAGCATCTTTCAACTACTAAGGATTATATTCATAAATTCTGAAGATTGGCAAAATTTGTAAAAGATCTTTGCAGGAGTTGAGAAACATTATTCCACTTATCACAAGTGGTTTTATACAACAGAGAATAAAATGATCATAATTTTATTAGTTTTAATGCTATACCAAATTAATAGCAGAATATTTAAGACATTTTTTTTTCAAATGAGACATAGACTACTGTCCTTTTATGTATCTAACATAATGTGAGTTCAAACATTTAACATCCACAGTCTAATCTCTTGACACATTTAACATCAGAAGCTACAGTTATCTTTCACACAGCAGTTGGGACTAACTGAATGAAGACCTATTACAACACTGGCAGATACAGAAGAGAAAGTGGTGAGTCTCCATTCTTGACTTACATTACAATACCATCTAACTTTGTCCAACATAGCTCATTGGTTTTAAGTCACAATGAGGGTTTGTCTCAAATCCATATATACTAAATCTCAGTGCTTTAATGTAAATCTGAATTGCTGTGTGATATTCCAAGTTCATGATGCATTTCTTTCCTAGAATCAAGTTTCTTATTAGAAAACGTGTGTCTGCTCTATTTTATAAAAAATTATTTTGTACTGAAGGTAAACATAAGGGGAGTGATTTTTTTTTTTTAAATTTCCCTTGAACACATTTTATAGAAAATAGATAGATGGGGTTTAAAACAATTCTGCAATTGCTTTAAGATGCAATTCTAGGAGGGTCGCATCTTAAGAAGGTAAAACAAACAAACATGTTAAAACCAATTAACCTTTCTCTATTTTGTATCATTTACTATTAATTCATTTAAAATCCTAATAAATGCTTATTGTTGCCCTTCCTTCATACATTCATTTATAAATGAAACAAATATCCTTGCTCCTACTGAATTTACTTTTCAATAGCAAAGGTAAAAAAGAAAAAAAATTGAATGTTTGTTAAAATACTCAAATACAGTTAAGGAAATATATATATATATAAAGACATCAAGTGCTACCATAGTTGTTTCTTCTGAAAAGGTGAATTATGAGCCAAGTCCTAAAGGACATATGGCAGTGATGTCACAGATGTGTTGAGCCCAAATCTGGGTTGCTGCAGAAGCCATGTGCCTTGACTTGGTCACTCAGTGTGAACATGCAGAATCTGCACATATTCTTTGGCAGATACACTATCAGACCAAAACATTGGAATGGGCAGAAGATGTCTTCAGAGGATAAAAGCTTTCCAGCATGAGGAATGGTGAAGTGGAATAGTATGTATGAAAGCAGTGTCTGAGCAGAGTAACCTCACTCAATGTAGGTTTTCCAATATAACATTTACTTCTGCTGAGACCAAATTAAATATATAATAGAAAAATAACAGGGAGATGGTGAGAAACTTACATGAATAAGCTAGGTTAAATCAGACAAATTATATATGGAATTCATGGAAAATATGATAATTTCTTAATCTTTTGTGATATTACATACATATATTACATTATATTATATTGTACATATTATATTATTTTGTATAATGTTCTTTGTTCCCACTCTTGGCATAGAGCATCTACATCCATGGAATTTTGTAAATGAAAGTAACTATTCAGGTATCTTGTCATTCATAGTGAACTCCTCCAATGATACCTGGAAACACCTTTATGTATTGGTTCCTGGGTAACAGAGAACTAATCATACAATTAGAAATTTGGAACTTTTATATCCACTCCTTCCACAATTCTAAGGAGAGGAAGGGATATAGAGTTTTCATTATTGACAGATGGCATGTAGTTTAATTAATGATTCCCAAATCATAAAAATTCCATATATAATTGGTTCAGAGTGTTTCTGGATTGGTTAACACTAAACCTCTGTGGAGGATTGTCATCCAGAGAGGACAAGGAAGTTCAAGACTCCTTCAAATAGACCTATGCTATTCACCCTATTGACTTCTCCCAGGCAATCTGAGTTATATCCTTTAATAAAAGGTTGTCAATCTAGTAAGTAAAATCTTTTTCTGAGTACTATGAAATGCTCTAGAAATTTAGTTGAAACTAGAACTTTGAGTCTAAGGCCCTGGGGACTATTGATTTATAATTAGTGGCTAAGAAGTACAAATGAAAATCATACTTGCAAGTAGCATCTGAAGGAGTTTTGTATAACCGAGTCCTTAATCTAGGGAATATGAAGATCTCCAATGTAGATAGAATGTAAATTTAATTAAACTATAGGATGCCCATATGGTATCTGGAGAGTTGAAGAACTGCTTTATGTGTAGGAGAAATTCCCACACACTTAGTGAACAAAAGTGTCAAAATTAAAGTATTGAGAGTAGAGGACACTTACAAGAGGTATTTTTTTCCTAGATCGGTAGTTGCTGATGTATGACATGCTTCAGTCTTTTTATTTCCCCTAGTATTTTACCATGGAAAAGTTCACACTGACTTCTGAGGTGTTATCTGTATTATGAGATCCCCATATATTAAAGTTTACCTCTCTTTACACCTGGGTTTTGTGTTGTCCTTCTCCCCAGGACCTGTTACAGGCAATGTCATTGAAGAATAATTCATCTTCTGACTTTATTCTCTTGGGGCTTCTGATGAACAATCAGGCCACAGGAATTGTCTTCACAGTTATCTTTGCTATTTTTGTGGTGGCTATAGCTGCAAATGTTGTAATGATATTCTTGATCCAGGTGGATTCACGTCTCCACACCCCTATGTACTTTCTGCTCAGTCAGCTGTCTATCATGGACACCATTTTCATATGTACCACTGTCCCAAAGCTGCTGGTTGACATGGTTTCTAAAGAGAAGACTATTTCTTTTGTGGCCTGTGGAATCCAGATCTTCCTCTACTTGATCATGATGGGCTCAGAGCTCTTACTCTTAGGCCTGATGGCCTATGACCGCTATGTGGCTGTGTGTAACCCTCTTAGGTACCCAGTCCTGATGAACAGAAAGGTATGTGTTCTGCTGGCCACTGGTGCCTGGATTGTTGGCTTCCTAGATGGTTTTCTGCTCACTCCTATCACCATGACTTTCCCCTTTTGTGGCTCCCGCAGTATCAACCATTTCTTCTGTGAGATTCCGGCTCTTCTCAGATTGTCCTGTTCTGACACATCTTTGTATGAAACTCTAATGTACATCTGCTGTGTATTCATGCTACTCATCCCCATCTCTATCATTTCCACCTCCTACTCCCTCATCTTGTTAACAGTTCACCGCATGCGCTCTGCTGAAGGCCGCAAAAAGGCATTTACCACTTGTTCTTCCCACTTGACTGTAGTTAGCATTTTCTTTGGGGCTTCCTTCTACAATTATGTGCTGCCTCAGTCTTTCCACACCCCAGAAAAGGATAAGATAGTGTCTGCTTTTTATACCATTGTTACACCCATGCTCAATCCTCTCATCTACAGCCTCAGAAACAAAGACGTCTTGGGAGCATTTAAAAGGTTATTTGCAAGATGTTCATCTACTCAGAAAGTAGCAACTAGTGGTGCTTAGACACTCAATATGAGAATATGTTTTCCTCTGTGCTTCCCATTTTACAAGAAACAATTTGG